AGCCATACATGACTACTGGGAATACCATTGCTTTGACGATGTGGACTTTTGTTGGCAGGGTGATGTCTCTTCTTTTTATCATGCTGTTTAGGTTCGCCATCGCTTTCCTCCCAAGGAGCAGGCGTCTTTTAATTTCATGGCTGCAGTCACAGTCTGTGGTGATCTGGGATCCCAGGAACGTGAAGTCTGTCACTACTTCCACGACTTCCCCTTCTATTCAATCCATTTCAGAATCTAAACCATGTAGTTTCATACGTACACAAGCATTTACATCGGTATTTAATAATAGGGGATTTCATTACCGCAACAAATTACCTGTCTAAATACCTCAATATTTGTTTTCCAAATGTCACCTTATTCTCACAATGATCTTTCACATATGTTTAAAAATAAATTTTAATACTCTTTTAGTATATTTTCCAATGTTTCAATTCATTTATAGAGTTTTGAACAGCTGTGTAATTATTACATTATTCAGACCTTTATAAAATCTTGAGGAACTGTTTTCTCCCTTATCCAAAAATTTGATGCTTGTGTATCTCTCTTATCCACAACATTTTGGAGCTTTCAATAGATTTTCATCCTCTTCTTCATTTTCTGATTTCTTCTCTTAAGTCTTAATTTTGTGCCTTTTCCCCTTGTAGATGAGGCAAGTATCTTCTGGTGATAACCATCTATATAATGTTAATCCATTTGGCAAACACTCTAGTCATATCTCATCGTCACATTCATCAAATCCATTAGTGTGATGTGAAAGGGCCTGTCATACCACCTTTCCTCAGAAACTGAGCCTCAGATCATGCAACAGATTCTTCCCTGCCTTGTTCCTTCTCCTTCCCCCCCTCCCTTATACTGCATTTGTTAAGTATTAAGTTCCTGGGAGCAGGGACCATGGATATTGATGTAAAGTGTCGTTGTGAGGATAAAATGGAAGATGAGAACAGCATAAGCCAGTTTGGGTCCCCGTTGGGGAGAAAAGCAGGATATAAAATAAAGTAAAATAAATAAAAATGTAAAAAGAAGAAGAGAAGAGATTGGATTTTTGCCTCATCCTTCACTTGGAGTCTCAGAGAGGCTTACAGTCTTCTTTCCCTTCCTCTCCCCACAACAGACAGCCTGTGAGGTAGGTGGGGGCTGAGAGAGCTTTGACAGAAACTGGTCTGGAGAGAACAGCTCTCAGAGAACTTTGACTGACCCCAGGTCACCCAGCAGCTGCATGTGGAGACGTGGGGAATCAAACCCAGTTCTCCAGACTAGAGTCTGCTACTCTTAACCACTACACCAAAGCAAGGGATTAAATCTAAAAACAACATAACAATAAGTAGGACATAGCATAACATCAGTAAAACCACTTAAAAACAGCAACAGCATAAAAATTAGATAACTGATAAAAGTATCACAGGGAGAAAACAGTGATGTCTACAAGCTCTGGAAAGTAAAAAAACTTCACCAAGTTCCTAAATAATTGCAAATATGGCACCAGCCAAGGCTGAGGGAGTTCTATGCAGCACAATCCTAAGCATATTACTCAGAAGCAAGCCCTATAGGGTCTAGTCCCTAGTTGTCAGGTCTCCCAGTTAAGACACTCTCCACAATACACTTTGGCAGTGCTAGTTTATTGAGATATGCTTACTTCAGGAAACATGTTCTGTGTCAGAACTGGAAAAAGGCGAGCAAAAGCCCATATTATAGGTAATACAAAATACACCCCACACCTCTCACATATGTCACCATCCATGCCCTACAGTAACTATGGCAACCCGGACAGATATACGGTGCCTTATCTACATCTTGCCTGGCAAAAAAGACTCCAAGGCCAGGTCCCTTGGGAACTGCTTGAGGAAAAGTTACGGCTTCGAAAAGCATCCACTCAAAACACCCATGTACTCCCCTCAGGAATTCCCTCCCCCCATATCTCTAGCAAGCAGTGAAGTGGAACGAGGTGAAACGAAACCAAGGCTTGACACTAGTAAGCTTGTTTAGGATTGGCATCCCAGTCTTGGTGCCACTACAGAAAACGCCATGTGTCTTATTATCTGCCTTATTACTTTCGGTAGGCACTGGCAGTGTAGTTGGTTAGACCCGAATTCAAATCGGGCAGGGAATCCAGGCATGTCTGCCTCCCTGCCCTTCCCGTCGCCAGCCTGCCGTGCCTTCGAGACAGTTGTTCCCCAGTGGCCACCCTTTGTCCCCGACCCTGAAGGAACGAGGTAAGCCCCTGCAAGGCAAACCCTTGAATCCCAGTGTCGGCGAGGCAGTGGGTCAGTAGTTGGTAGTCGACCTTGTCAAACGCCGCCGACAGGTCCAACAACAACACTGCCGAACCGCCCTGACCCAGATGCATTCAAAGGTTGTCTGTGAGGGCGACCAGTGCTGTCTCCATCCCTGGTCAGAAGCCGGACCGGAAGGGATCTAATGTGGAGGTGTCATCCAAAAAACCCTGCAACTGAATCGCTACCGCCCTCTCGATTAATTTGCCCAGATAGGGCAAACTGGACACCGGCCGGTAGCTAGCCAATTCAGCCGGGCCCAGAGATAGTTTTTTTAAGAGAGGGCGTACCACAGCCTCCTTGAGTGCCCTTTTCAGGAGGCACTGCCCCACAGATCTGTTTCACACCATCTCTGCTGAACTCATCTATCAAAGGCGGCGTATTCTATTCTATTCTTACATATAATTTGTATACCACTCTCTCCACAGTATGTTCAAGACAGTTTCCAAATGCAATCATATATAATGAAATAAAAAGGGACAACACTATATAACATTGCACTTGCAACCTGCCTGTAAACCGCTCTGAGACCTTCGGGTCAGAGCGGTATATAAACCGAATGTAATAAATAATAATAATAATAACAGTAAAAACCATATAAATGAGGGATGCCAGCCTCCAGGTGGGACCTGGGGATCTCCCAGAATTACAGCTCATCTCCATAACACAGAGATCAGTTCCCCTGGAGAAAACGAATGTTTTGGAAAGTGGACTCTATTACATTGTCTCCCACTGAGGTCCCTGTCCTCCCCAGGCTCCATCCCCAGATCTCTAGGAGTTTCCCAACCTGGAACCCTACCCCCCATCCCCTGTCAGTTGCCAGGGAGGACCTGGCAATGCTAAGCATAGAAAAGTGCAAATCAGCATTGCAAACTAAGCTAGAGACTGGTGGTAGAAAGTGCCGTCAAGTTGCAAGCAACCTTTTGGGGTTGCCAGGTCCCCTGTGGCCAGTGGCAAGGGGTGGGAGGGTAGGGTTGGCAGATCCACACGTGAACACACTGAATCAGATCATTGGTCTATCAAAGTCAGTACTGTCTCCTCAGACTGGCAGTGACTAGTCTAGGGTCTCAGGCAGAGGTCTTTCATATCAACTCCTATCTGGTCCCTTTAACTGGATATGCCGAGGATTGAATTTGGGACCTTCTGCATGCCAAGCAGATGCTCCGCCACTGAACCACGGCCCCTTCCAGGCTGGGTAACTCCTGGAGATTTGGGGATGGAGCCTGAGGAGGTCAGGGTGGAGTACAATGCCATAGAATCCACCCTCCAAATAATCCATTTTCTCCAGGAGAACTAAATTCTGTAATCTGGAGTTAAGATGTAATTCCAAGGGATCCCCAGGTCCCACCAGGAGACTGGCATCGCAACGACTTGTGACAACCCATTACGGTTTTTAAGGCAAAGCAAGAGATGTTCAGAGTTTGCCATTGCCTGCCTCTGTTTATTTATTTATCAAATTTAAACCCTGCCCTCCCCGCCAAAGTAGGCTCAGGGCAGCTGTTCCAAACTAAGCTAGAAACTAAACTACAATATGTCTAAAAATGCCTTAAAATCCTTTATAGGACAGATGTGTATGTTCAACAGTTCCAACTCTCTCTACCTTCCACTCCCTCCTGTTTCATGGTCCCTGCCCCCACAAAATCTCTACCTCTGTTTTTGCCTTTTGAGGCAGGCCTTGTTTAAGCGTTGGTATTTCACATGCTGTAGCT